CCTATCAGACAGGCCAGCACCGCATCTCAACACAGCTTTGTTTTTCTCTACTTGTCGTCGTGTACACAGTAACTCTTGAAGTGATAAAAGCTGTTTCTTTGTGAAATATGGGCCCGAAAAGAAAACCAACTGCTAGTGCTGGTGATGGAAGTGAAGAGAAAACGAAGAGGTCTAAGAAAGTGATGGTTCTTAGCCAGAAAATAGACGTTTTGGATAAATTAAAGTGGTTTGGCAGATTCAGGTAAGTTTGTGGTTGGTTAATGTTGCTACAGCATTGATGTGGTTGTTTATATTTTCAGTGGCAGAATTTATTTATATAACTCTGAATGACTTGTATTTTTTTTTTTTTTGAGTTGGAGTCTCACTCTGTCGCCCAGGCTGGAGGGCAGTGGCACGCTTCCGGCCACCGCAGCCTCAACTTGCTGGGCTCCGGCGATCCTTCCGCCTCAGCCTTCCGAGTAGCTGGAACTACAGGCGCGCGCTACCACACCCGGCTGATTTTTTGATTTACTGTAGAGATGAGGTCTCACCAACTTGCCCAGGCGGGTCTCGAACCCGTGGGCTCAGGCAATCCACTCACCTCAGCCTCCCAAAGGCGCAGGATTCCAGGCTGAGCCACCGAGCCCGGCTATGACTTGTATTTTTAAGGAGCACTAAGGATCTGCCGATGTTACTGAAATGAGTTATACTAAACTGAATTTTATGGGGAAAGATAAACACTATAGTAATATTTGAAAACATGAGGACTTTGGGGAGTTATGAAGAAAGTCTTGGCATATGTTGTATATATCAAGAGTTTATCATAATCCTGGGCTATCTTGTTCTAGTAGTAATTCTGTCCTTGTTACAGTGCAAGACTTTTCATTGTTTTTGATATACTGTAAAACTTTTTATTTTTGAGTCAAAGTCTCACTGTGTTGTCCAGGCTGGAATGTAATGGTACAATCACAGCTCACTGCGTCCTTGGCCTCATGGGCTCAAGTGAATCTCCTGCCTCAGCCTCCTGAGTAGCTGGGACTACAGGCACATGTCACCACGCCCAGTTAATTTTGTAGAGGAAAGGTCTCACTGTTGCCCAGGCTGGTCTTGAACTCCGGGCTCATTCATTTTTCTCACCTCAGTCTCCCAAAGTGCTGAGGTTACATGTTTGAGCCACTGCACTCGACCTTTTTGTAAAACTTACTTCCTTGGGCCTTTAATTTGGACTCTTTCTCCTCTTCCACATTTGCTTTGTTTTTCTTTTCCTTTTTTTTTTGAGTTGGAATCTCATTCTGTCACCTAGGCTGAGTGCAGTGGCACCCTCACGGCCACCCCAGTATCGACCTGCTGGGCTTAGGCGAACCTTCCCTTTAGCCTTCCAAGTAGGTGGAACTACAGGCGTGTACCACCACACCTAGCTAATTTTTTGATTTACTGTAGAGATGAGGTCTCACCAAGTTGCCCAGGCTGATCTCGTACCCATGGGCTTAGGAAATCCTCTCACCTCGGCCTCCCAAAGAGCTGGGTTATAGGCATGAGTCACCACCCGGCCTGCTTTGTTTTTCATACCACATGAACGATAGCACAGTGTTACCAAATTTAAAGTATCCTGATAGTGTTTTTGAGATTGTATTAGTTATAACTTAGGGAGAGGCTTATTGAAGTATTTATTTTTTCACATTTGGGCATTCTCTTTTCAAGCATTATCTTGAAATAGCCCTTAAATTGTTCCATATATCTTTTATGAACTTCATTTTTTTAGCCATAATTTGTGAACATCTTTATGAACAAGGATTTCTATTAGATGCTGGCATACAGAGAAAAGCTAATACAGATTGAGCATCCCTAATCTGAAATACTCCAAAATCCAACACTTGTGGTCAACACGGTGCCACAGGTGGGAAATTCCACACCTGACACCTTGGCTTTCTGATGATTCAGTGTACACAAACTTTGCTTCATACACACAATTATCTAAAGTATTGTGTAAAATTAGCTTCAAACTATGTGTATAAGGGGTATTTGAAACATAAATGAATCTCCTGTTTGGATTTGGGTTCCTTCCCCGTAATACTCATTTCATATATGCAGATATTCCAAAATCTGAAAAAATCCAAAATCTGAAACATTCTGGTCCCAGGCATTTCAGATGAAAGATACTCAACCTGTAGCCATTTGTCAGGGAACTCTCAGTCAAGGAGAAGGGAAGATCTCTAAACCAGTGATATGAAAAGCTTGAGGCATGTTGTTACACAGGGCGCTCGGAATACAGACGTGGGAGATGCCAGCTGGGGTGAGATGGAGGAGGGTTTCTCAGTGGAGGAGGAATGAATGGGGCGTTCATGTTCTTTGTTCGTCTGATTGGCATCCATTCCCTTTGCAGCGTGTTTCCACCTGGCTATTTCCAGTGTATTGTAAGGCTGTTGACTTGGGTCTGTTCCAGCCACGTTCAAGAATTCATCATTACCTGATCCAGCTGATGCCTTTGGATTTTCATGACAGTCTAGTCTCTTTCAAATAATGTCTCCTTTCGATAATTTATTTCATATATAAGGATATATGAAATGTATTAAATTATGGTGATAATGGGCATTTTTGTATGTTCCTAGGTTTAGAGATTGCTTGCTTTGCTGTTAAGCATAATGCTGATTTCAGGTTTAAGTATGGGACTTACTATAAATTTCAAGGAAAAATCCTATGCACTTATTAGGAATGGATGTTGATTGACTCAGATTTCCCTTTGAAGTAGTGAAAATGATTTTTCTTTATCAGCCTATTGGTATAATAGTTTTGTTTTTCTGAAAGAATCTATTTGGTTACGGGCTATTCTTTTATAAAGTACTTGTTGGAATTTCTTTGCTTGTATTTTATTTGTCTTTTTTGGGTATATATTGATAAAAAAGATTGGTGGCCTTTTGTGAGATCTTTAACTGGTTTGAGAATCAGATTGTATTTCCTTTAAGGCAGCATCACTAATAGAGTTGGTCCTCTCTGTTTGTGCATACAACTTGCTCTGCGGGTCGAAAATATTTAGGAGGGGAAAAGTGGCATAATTGAAAAAGTAAAACTTGAATTTGCTGTGCACTGAGTACTACACTGAATCCGTGTGGGCGTGAAGGGGTGGATGTGTAGTCACTGTATTCGGGATTACAAGTAATCCGGAGGTGATTTACATGTATATTACATATGCATATGCAAATAATTCGCCTTTAAAGTCTTCAACTTGATCATCCTTGTATTGTGGTATCCTCAGGGGTTCCGAGAACCAATCCCTCTCATATATGTTCCTCATATAGGTGAGACAGTTAGCTATTTCCCTGAGCCTGGAGTTGATTTATGGAAGTATAAGTGAATGTTGTGTTTTTTGTGGTCATAGTATGTCTAAAAGAGAAGACCAAGTACCCATGCAAATTTTAATTCTTTTTTTAAGCTAGTTTACATCATACTGTACATGAGAAAAGGCTTATATTCCATGATCCGTTTTCTTCCTTTTTGTTGATAAAGGAATACTATCCTAGAGACTTAATTTTAGGTGTTTAAAAATGTTTTTTGATCCTACGGGAGAACCTTTCACGACAGTGAAAAAGTGACATAGTGCTTTTTGGGTATCCCGTACCATAAACACAAGATTTAAGACAATAGATAATTCTTCTAATTTTTTTTGATATAAGAAGCTTGAACTGAACTGGAATATATTTTAACTATGACTAATGAGGATTCATAGAGCTGTTAATTAGAATCTAGGTCAGAATGAAGACATTTCCAGTTACAACGTTTGCAAAATTCAGAAAATTTTAGTTGCGGTACTAAAAGCCAGTAACCTTTTGACACCAAAGAAAATAATGAAAGTAAATGTAATGTAAAAGAGATATATCTAATTAGACTTGGCTTGTTTAGCATATTTAATATTAGCTAGTCAAATCTCTTATGAGAGATTGACGTCACTGTATAAACTGATACGATTTAGAGAAATGGGTCATAATTGTTTGCATAGTGTGACAATTTTAGAACATTTTGCAATTTGAGTCCATACCAGTTTGAGAAAAGGATTTGAGCATCACACCTTGAAGGTAGAAGGGAGGAGCACACCAGTTTATGGTTGATGGAGCGTCACTAGCAGTGACAGAGGGAAGAGATCGTAAGGTGTGATCACTGTCAGCCTGCACACTGCTAAAAATGGCTGTGTGGGGGCCTTTTAACATTAAAATATCATTTTATAATGGTGTAATTATATATGTACATAGACACACACATGCATGCACACACACATGGGGTCTTGCTGTGTTGCCCAGGCTGGTCTCACACTCCTGGACTCGGGTGGTCTTCCTGCCTCAACCTCTCAGAGTGTTGGGATTACAGGCATGAGCCACTGTGCCTGACCTATAATGGTACTATCTTAGTGTTAAAATGAGAATCATAGAAAAGCTAGGTAAAAACGAAAGGTTCAAAAAATTCTTAGGGCAAGGAATGAAAAAGAAAAGTGTGAATGTTGAATCTACTTAACAAATTAAATATAGGTTAAGGGAATAATGCTTATCAAAATCGATGTGTCATAATGTTCTAAAAGATAATAGAACAAAAATATTAATTTGGTGGTAATGGACTAGGGCTAAATCACCAGAATATTCCAGTAAAAGCAAGGAGACTGTAACAATGTACAATTTGTTAATTGCAAAACAATTTAGAAATGTGGTCTTAAGGTTACTTAATGTAATGATCGTTTTTAAAATGCAGAAAAACTTTTTCAATCTGTGAGTTCACTATAAAGGTCTTATATATTACCATATGTATATAGCTTTGAAGCACAACTTTGCAAGTATTTAAAGCAGTTAATAACTGGATATGCAGTATTCGAATTTCCAGGTATTTTCTTTTTATGTAATACTATTTTTTACTAACATAATTGTTGTGCATATTTATGGAGCACAGTGATATTTTGATATATGCAAGCAGACCTTTTCTATATTATGAAAACATTTGGAGAAATAATAAAATTTATTGCAGACATTCTCTTCTTTCAGCTGCTTTTCTAACCCAAACTGTGTGTCTTGATGACACTACAGTAAAGTTTGAAATCTGGGATACAGCTGGCCAAGAACGATACCATAGCCTAGCCCCAATGTATTACAGAGGAGCGCAAGCCGCCATAGTTGTGTATGATATCACAAATGAGGTAAGTGCCAGTGCTTTCCATGGTGAAACTAGTTTGAATATCCATTCTTGTTGTTCAGAATTTTGATTAGAGAAAAGATTTTTTTAAGTCTTTTATTTTTGTTAGTCAGTCATGAACTTTCTGTGGAAAAGTGAGTTAGAAAATCTGATTTAGAAAAAATGAAAGTGTCTCAAATAATACAGGTCCTAAGAATTTCTCTCACAGAGCCACATTGGACAATCTTTTAATGCTTTGTGTCACAAAGATGCTTCCTAACCATTTCTGAACCTGTGCCAAATAGCTGTTTCTTTGTTTAACAGGAGTCCTTTGCAAGAGCAAAAAATTGGGTTAAAGAACTTCAGAGGCAAGCAAGTCCTAACATTGTAATAGCTTTATCAGGAAACAAGGCTGACCTAGCAAATAAAAGAGCTGTAGACTTCCAGGTATGTGGAATTTCACTTTCACTTGAAGGCACATTTTTTTAAAAAACAGATTTGTTTTATATCAACACTTGAATTAGTAGTTACAGTTTTAGGTCATGGAAGTAGTAATAGTAAGTATAGGTTTCTAAAGTATTTGTGAAGTACTATATGTAATAAAATGTTTCTCCTGGTAAACCTGAATTTTTAAATACCTTTTCATTAATGTAATGTATACATTCATCGAAAGGTTTTGTAGACTTAAACAATTACAAAAGAAGTAATTGTTCACAGTGGAAAAAAAAAAAAATCACACACTTTTTTTTTTTTTGAGTTGGAGACTCACTCTGTAACCCAGGCTAGAGTACAGTGGCATGCTCATGGCCACCGCAGCCTCGACCTGCTGGGCTCAGGTGATCCTTCTGCCTCAGCTTCCAAGTGGCTGGAACCACAGGCGTGCATCAACATGCCTGGCTAATTTTTCTTGATTTATTGTTGAGATGACGTTTTGCCAAGTTGCCCAGGTTGTTCTTGAACCCATGGACTCAGACAGTTCTCTCACCTCGGTCTCCCAAAGTGCTGGGATTATAGGTGAGAGCCACCATGCCCGGCCTTACACACACATATTTCTTTTTTCTTTTCTTTTTTTTTTTTCGGGGTTGGAGTCTCACTCTGTCGCCCAGACTGGAGTGCAGTGGCCGCTCCTGGCCACCGCAGTCTCGACCTGCTGGGCTCTGGCAATCCTTCCGCCTCAGCCTTCTGAGTAGCCGGAATTACAGGCGCACGCTACCACGCCCGGCTAATTTTTTGATTTATTGCAGAGATGAGGTCTCGCCAAGTTGCCCAGGCGGGTCTCGAACCCGCGGGCTCAGGCAATCCACTCACCTCAGCCTCCCAAAGGTGTGGGATTACAGGCTGAGCCACCGAGCCTGGCTCACACACATATTTTAACTCATGTTCTTCCGGACCTGTTTCTACACACCTATGAATATATGGCAGCATGTGCTTATCTTTATGTGTATGTACAAACAGTCATGTAGTTGTTTTTAAGAGGACTTTCAAAATTGAAGGCACACAAAATCCAGTTTGGCTGGGCGCAGTTGCTCACGCCTATAATCCCAAGGGCAGAGCATTGCCTGAGAGCAGCCTGGGCAACATAGCAAGACCCTATCTTTATAGAAAATTTAAAAATTAGCCAGGCATGGTGGTGCAAGCCTGTCTTAGCTACTGGGGTGGCTAAGGCAAGAGGATCCCATGAGCCCAGGAGGTTGAAGCTGGAGTGAGCCAAGATTGTACCACTGCACTCCAGCCTGGAGCACAGCAAGACTTGTCTCAAAAAAAAAAATTCAGTTTGGGTCTGTATGTCATCTGCGATAGCTAATTCAGAATGTTCCCTGCTACAAAACAGAGCAGTTGCAGTCAGTGAACAAAGAAGCAAGTCCTTTACCTGGGCCTGTTGAAACCATGCCTGTTCTCCTGCGCTTTGGCTTGTCTACCCCAGAGATTTGGTTGTGGCCATCATGTGTGTTGCATCAGTGGTGGGGGAATCTTCTTTGTTGATGACAGCAATGCATGGAATATGAGCAGTGAGAGAAAGTAACTAGTTTTTCTTGCACCATGAGATATTCAGTTGAGCATATTACACTTGTCCTTTCATTTACTTGTGAAAACTACGTGAGGTGTGGTTGCGTCTGCTCCACTTTCCAAGACAGTGACCTTCCCAGCATAGAGTGGTAGAACAAGCACTTACAGTGCCGGCAGAAGTGGCCTTGTCGCGTAATAGTTTAAAGGAACCTCAGTTGTTTCTTTGTCACATGGGAAAGATAATTGGCTGCCTCTCATGACAGCTGTGAGGACCAAAGGTAATAATATCTGTAAACTCTAAAAGCATGACAAAAATGTAGGGCAGCGATGTAATTTCCACAGGAATGATTCATGATATATTCAGAATCACAGTGTTGCTATGGAAGTCACTCCAGGTTAAATACAAGGGTGTCATTTAGTGGTTGAAGCCGGTATTGGATACTTGCTTTCCCTTTCTTTTCATTGCAGGTAGTAAGTGTAACTAGAAATGGCTGTTGAGATCAGAGAGAGTTTTATATTCAGAGCAGGAGTATCCACACCACCCCCCTACCGTCCAGAGCTGATTATTTGAAAGTAGCTTTAATGCAAGAAGTGAAGGCAAAAACGAAAATATTCCATTATGAAATTATCTTACATAGCGCTTTCACCTTTGTTGTGGCTTATTACACACAGTTGTTGATCATCGTCAATCAGGGTGGAGTAGTATAAGGAAGCCTCATTTTTTTGTATAGCAAATAAAGATGTATATGCCCAACAGATATCTCATTCTTTGTTCTGTAAACAGGAAGCACAGTCCTATGCAGATGACAACAGTTTATTATTCATGGAGACGTCAGCTAAAACATCAATGAATGTAAATGAAATATTCATGGCAATAGGTAAGATTCATAACTTTTTCAAATGATGAATATAGGCAAAACAAATGTGGGGCATAATTGGTTTGACTATCTCTCTTAAAAAAATTCTTGAATGGATTTTATTCTTTTAATAATGATACTACTTTTCTAGGTCCCTTCCACCAGACAATAGTTTTTTGGTAAATTCACCTATTAGGTAGGTGAGCTTCTTCCAGGTAAGCTAAACCTGGATTTTGACCCAAAGCGGGTAAATTTTTCAAAGATTTCACTGAGAAATTTGAATACATGTTTTTATGTTTGGTTACACTTTTTATAAAAAAGGAAGACAAACTCAGAGCAATATTTATTTATTTATTTTCAGAGCAGTATTTATCAATGCAGCATTTAGGTATAGTAAGAATTCTTATTGATCAGTAGCCTTATCTCTTTGTCTTGAACAGAGAGCACTATTCTTGTTTTTCAGGATCTTTTAAAATCAGATTATTGATAAGTATAACTCAGAGAAGTACATGATACATAAGTATCCAGACTGACAAATTAATACAAGGGAGAAGATTTTATTTAGAGCACCAGGATTTAGGGAAAAAGGGAAAGAAGTGTCCACTCTTCATGTTTTAGCCCGGGGAGGGGAGGCATTTGCTCTCACACAGTTCTCTTCCTTGCTTGAAGGTACTTTCAACTGTTGTAATGGCCATTGGCAAGACCTCATCTCTACAGTAAATCAAAATTAGTCAGGTGTGGTAGCACACACCTGTAGTTCCAGCTACTTGGAAGGCTGAGGTGGAAGGATCGCCTGAGCTCAGCAGGTAGAGGCTGCGGTGACCATGAGCGTGCCACTGCACTCCAGTCTGGGCAGCAAAGGGAGACTCCGACTCAAAAGAAAAAAAAAAAAAGAAAGAAAAAGAAAACAGGGAGGTACAGGCTTCAAATCAGCACAGACTTTTTCAACCTTTTGTATCGTCGTAGGACTGCACCTGATGGATTTTAAAATGTGCTAATAAGGTTATTTTTCCAATTAGTGCCTGCATATTAGAGTTATTTTTTTCCTGAAATTAGAATATTGTCCTTCTTAAGTTCCAAATGTAAATGGATTGTAGCCTTTCCATTTCCTAACAAGATTAGTAACTTAGATCACATGGTGCACTCAACAGTTCTAAGCGATCAGAGACTAACAAGTTCCTCATTCTGGTTAATTTTCTTCAGCCTCCTGATCTCACTCAGACCTAAATTCAGAGAACCCTTAGAAAAGGGGAGCACCATGGGGCTTTGCTTGCAGATCCGTTCTTGCCATTTGTCTGCCTTCCCAGAGTCCTGGAGAAGTGACCCAAGAAGAGGCTTCTTTTCCAACTTCACTGCCCCTGGCTTCCAGTCCCATTGCCCAACTTAGCAGCGGATTTTTAAAGATGGTGAATGCCGGTTGGAATGGAATGTGTAGAATAAAGAATAAAAGACCCAAAGCACAACGCGGTGATCAGACTTGGAAGTAGAGTGCCTTCCGCCCCAATTACCCGCACCAGGGCCGTGATGGGGTTAGCCTTACCATAGCAAGAGTAACCACGGTTGGCAGAGCGGCACATCCAGCCACTCTTGCAGGTGGTACTATTAGACATATTTCACTCACTGCTTCCCTTCAAAAGATGAATTTTGCACATTGAGAATCTTAGGGAGTAAACTGCACAGTCTCTAATTTACTGTGGTTTGACTTGTGATTTTTGGACTACATTTCTGTGCTTACCACGGGGCTGCATCCAGATAAACCCATCATGAATTGGAAATACTGCAAATCAAAAATGCATTTTCACCTAAGGATGGGGGTTATCAGGGCATAGCCTAGCCCCGTAAATCAAGGGACATCTGTATCTCCAGTATGTAAAACTTTAATTGATGGGTGGCGTGCTCCAGACAACAGCCACTAGCTGCATGGAGCTTAGAGCTAAAGCCACACCTGCTGGTTGAGGAGCTTTGTTCGAGTCTAACAAGTCACACTAATCTGACTCAAATAAACCGTTTTTGGAGATAGCGTCTCCAGGGTCCATTCCATTTGTGTTATGCCCAGCAGCTAGTGAATCCGAGTAGGCTCTTTATCAGACCGTAGGAGGAGAAAGTGTAGTTGTTTGAAGGGCGAAGGCTATGAAGCCAGGAAGGAAATAGGAGGTGAGGTTTGTCGGAGTCCGTCGTGATAATCAGTTGTGCAGAGCAGAGGACAGGTTTTATTGGGATGGTGATGTGGTGTTATATGCTCACTTGCTCCAGAAAGCGTTTGTGCCAGTCCTTAGAACATTGATGTGAGCTGAGTCTTTTTACATAGATAGCTCTAGTCAAGTGTAAGTTTTCTTTTCTTTCTTTTTTTTCCAAGTGTAAGTTTTCATTGTGTGTCTACAACTGGTCCCCATGTGTATGCCCTTCCTCCACCACAGTTACCTCAGAAATTAAAGTCCCTTAAGACGGCAATCAATGAGCTGACACTTAAAAACTATACTCAGTAAACATTTGAAAAGAATATACAGCCATGTGATACTTTGGGGATAACTGGAAAGAAAGCTTACAAATAAGCAGATAAAACTAATTTTTAAATGAATTTTCTAATTGTTTATTTTCATAATTTATCTCTTAGCTAAAAAATTGCCCAAGAATGAACCACAGAATCCAGGAGCAAATTCTGCCAGAGGAAGAGGAGTAGACCTTACTGAACCCACACAACCGACCAGGAGTCAGTGTTGTAGTAACTAGACCTCCAGTCTGAACTAGCTGGAATGAATATTCTTCTGCTTCCCAAATGTCAATAACAATGGAATTGGAGCATTTAACCAGCCCAGTATGACTTCTAAAAAGAAGAGACTTATCATAGAGTCAAGTTTCTAATACAGAATTATTTTAAGTGTTTTGAACTTAATTTTTAATAACATGCATGTGTCCCTCTGACTAATGTTTCAGCAATAGAAAGGGAAAGTGAGAGCTGTGTGTATACTTGTTTCATTGAAAGGTTAGGGGCAGAAACTTCTCATCACTAGGGACACAGACAAACGACCGTATGGACCACAGTTAACCAACCAGTTTCTTCACACTGGTAGTCACCTGTGACAAAGATTTGAAACTTATTAATTTGGGCTTTCCAAAAACTTTTTTGGAAGGGGAATCTAAAGTTTTACTTAGCTACAGTATTCAGGCAAATAGTAGTTTCTCCTGGTACTTACATTTGAGAAGCGTACATTCCACATTTTAATGAATTAACCACAAGAAAACAGTCCCATGTCTCCGGGGCTTGGGGGAATGAATATTAATGGCATCTGAATTATAGCCAGTCCTATTATTTTTTAAATGGGGTAAAAGTCAAATGTAACCCCGTCTTGTTTTTGGAATATGAGAACTGATAAATGCATCTTATGGATCGTGTTCCTGTCAAACGTGTGAGCTCTTCAACAGAAATGAAACAAACCAGGTTTCTGTGATTTCTATTTAATCACTGCTGGCCATTACATAGGTTTTGTTGTCTGGGGGCAGGGAGGGGGCTTTTGTTCCCTTTTGACATAATATAGTCAATGCACTAACAATTATGTATATTCAAACTTGATTATTTTAAATTCGATCTTCAGCTGTACTGTAAATAGGGTACTGCATTGTAGTCTCCATATATGTAATACTTTTCTGTAATATTTAAGAGTCGCTTAAACATATACAGAATGTACAGTTACTAAACAAGCTAATTATTTCTTTCTCTCCCCCCTTGAAGGGAAGGGGCTTCGGTTGTTCCTACATGGTTAGAACCATAATAAGCAATGTACCCGTAATTTGTAACATAAAGTATTGCGATATGTTAGTAACAATCTTGCAGCCTTGTTTTCCAAAGTTCATTTTATTTCGATCAGTTCAGTATATTGCACTAATTATTTTAGGTATTTTCATTATATGAATTCTACCATGTGACAGAGATGATTTAATCTATTTAAGTGTTGGACTGCTAGGAGAACTTGTATATTTACAATAATGCAGAATTAGGAAAAATGGTTCACCAGTGTTTAGTTTTATATTGAGGTGCTCAGGTTGGAATAAAGTGGTATCAAAAGCAAGTATTGATTTCTCTCTCTTTTTTTGCATAAAGCACAAAACGTATGTAAAAGTTATTATGTAACCTAATATCTGCTTTTTTATTTTCTTTACTACATCCTTACATGTTATTTGCATGGCATTGATGCATTGTCTTAAAATCTGGTTCATTGGAGAATTGTCTTAGTGGCATTGTATTTTGGTGCTTTGGATAATTGGAGCTTTATTTTTTTATGCCAGAAACTGATACTCACTTCCATTGAGAAGTATGACCATAACCGTGATGTTGTCTCTGGAGCCAGCTTGTAGAGCAGCGTTCACGAGTTCATGACTCACGTACTCAGCTGCACCTTCATAGAAACTCTTGGCGCTGGGTTCTCTGTCTTGGTTTGTTGGCACACTGTCTACACTGGTTGGTCTGTTGGTTTCTTTCTCACTGGAAGGTTCACGGTGAGTCATTTCTGATAGAAATGTTTCTATGTTTTCAGGGCTATAAATGCAACATTTAGAATAGTTTGAATCAGAGAACATTTCCTTGGAATTTGGAGTTGGCACACATTCTTTAGATTCAGATTTATAGTGAAACAACACATGGATATCACTTTCTGATTTAGGGATTCTTGGTTCACTCACTGAAAGCGGCAGAGGCCCTTTGGATGGGGAAGATTTGTTTGTGATGGAGCAGTATGTTTCTTTATACATGTGAAACATCATCATTGCCAGTGCAGTGACTTCCTCTTGATCCAGAACTTCCCAGAGTCCATTGGTAGCTAAAATAAGGAACTGACATAAGTCATCTATCGGTACAGAAAGCGTTTGAGGTGCTGGAATGATGACCTTTTTCAGTTTGAGATTTCCGTGAAATCCAAGTCCTCGTGTGGTTTTCACTTGCCCCTCCAGGAGCCCATGAGGTTCACTTGAACTAATCACTGCTCCGTTCTGAAGTACTCGTCGTCTTTCTTGCGTGTTTCGTGTGGTATGCTCTTTGGTTAGGCAAAATCCTGTCCCGTTTCTGCATAAGACTGCTTGCACATTACCTAAGGGATTGTTTTTAGAAAAAGAAAATTTTAACCTAGAGTTTTAATAACGGATTGCATCGGAATCTACTGTTAACTTTAGTAACTCTGTTTCAGTGCTAAACGGAAAGTAGTCCATGTAAAAATATTTTAAACTATGTGTAATATTAATATCACTGCTGGATGACTTAGAAATTTTTATTTCAGACTGAGGCCAATTTCCTTCTTAAGCAACTTTTAGTGTCTAAGATTACTGTATTTAGTATTGAAACAAAACTACAGATAACAAAAGGAATTTTTTTTTTTTTTGAGCCAGAGTCTCACTGTTGCCCAGGCTGGAATGCAGTGGCATGTTCATGGCCACTGCAGCCTCTACCTGCTGGGTTCAGGTGATCCTTCTGCAGTAGCTGGAACTACAGGCATGTGCCACCCTGCCCAGTACATTTTTTAATCTGTTGTAGAGATGAGGTCTCACTAAGTTGCCCAGGTTGGTCTTGAACCTATAGGCTCAGGCAATCCTCTCACCTCGGCCTCCCAAAGTGCTGGGATCAGATCATAGGCATGAGCCACCATGCCCAGCTAATAAAAGGAACTTTTAAATTAATTTTTAAATAAAGTAGCTTTAGAATATTATTTATATTGGAGGGTCAAAAGTTGAACTTTTCTGTAGCCATCATATGTGCCACATAGCAGGTTTTTTTTGTTTGTTTTTAATTGGAGTCTCACTGTTGTCCAGACTCGAGTGCAGTGGTATGCTCATGACCACTGCAGCTTCAGTCTGCTGGGTTCAGGCAATCCTTCCACCTCAGCCTTCCAAGTAGCTAGAACTACAGGCACGCACCACCACACCCTGCTAATTTTTTGATTTATTGTAGATATGAGGTCTTGCCAAGTTGCCCAGACTGGTCTTGAATCCTGGGCTCAGGGAGCCCTCTTGCCTCAGCCTCCCAAAATACTAGGAGTACAAGTGTGAGTCACCATTCCCAGCCCACATAGCATATTTTAAAAATATTTTTAAAAGCTTTTCAGTTAACACAAGCTTTGATTTTTTTTTTTTTTTTTTTAATATAGAGTTTGACAGTTTTGTAATTGGTAAAAGTTAAAACCTGAGTGTACTAGTCATGGGTGATGAAAAAATTAGAATTCTACTGTTAATGATACTCTTACTAGGTTCTTGTATTGTGTGGTTTAAAAATAATTAAGAAAAATATATTATTAATGTATTAAATGAATCACAAACAGCCAACATATTAAGTTAAAACCTTTGTTTGGAAACAAATCTTAAAAGTTGGTTGTAGTTTGTTCATGGTTCAAGTGAACCCATGACATGCGCTTCATTAAAATCTGAAAATTTAAACATGTCTGCACAGGCATGGTTGTATTACTTAAAATTTTCTTGATTTATATTTTTAAATCACAGTTTTGTTTAGGTTGTTAGGAAAAATTGGTTTTCCTCAAGTTTTTAGGAACATAATATATTTAGCACAGGTAGTAGTTTTTCTTGATGTGGAACCATTTATGGTTCTACAGAAAGCTATCAGATTTTTCTGAGATGGGGTTAGTGATGTTTGAATATTATAATATCTCTGGGTGTTAAAATTCCTAGAATTGTATGCCAAATTTAGATAGAATATTCTGGTTTGAAAAATGATACTATACTTGAGGGTTCAGAATTTTATTGCTTGCAGGGATTCAATTCTAGGCCACCAATTTTTTCTTAAGTCAGGGTCACACTCTGTTGCTCAAACTGGAGTGCTGGCTCACCACAGCCTTGACTTCTTGGGCTCAAGTGATCCTCCCTCCTCAGCCTCCCAAGTAGCTGGGACTACAGGTGTGCACTGCCACCCCCAGCTAAAGAGACAAGGTCTTGCTATACTGTCTAGGCTGGTAGGCCCCAATATTTTAGTTTAAAAAAAATTTAGATTCAGAAGGCTGAGGTCCTTGCAAGTAGTATGTTTAGAAAGCCCAAGTTAGTGAAGAACGAATGTCATATAGAGACTATTGACGAATGTCATTAGAGACTATTGACTCATTTAAATAATGGAAATTAACTTTACCTTTTACACACTGACACACACGGATAATGGGAATTATTAATAGCCAAGCTACTGGATTGAGACCAAAAATGATGTATGCAAAAACATTTTGGAACATTGAGAACTCCATAAAAGCCTAAAAATTACATGGCCTGTCGTTTTTGTAGTTTGGTTTATTAGTGTTTTGTATTCACTTGCCTTTATTGATGGTCATTCTGCTTACATTGTGCAAAAAGTAAGTCTATAAAATCTTGATTTTTGCTGGATTGGAAATTATTATTGTATCAGCAAAGTGACATGGAATAATATTTAACATGCCAGCAGAGTAAACAGAATTGTCCTGTGAGGAGTGTGGATATGGATAGATACCTCTTCAATTAGAAACGCTTGTGTGTGTACATGTATACGTCTGAATACATGACCATAGCTTGGGACATAATTGGGCTCAGTGTAGTCAAATTCATTGATTTCCTGAATGTTTACTTGCGTTGGCAAAACGAGAAAGCGTCGTTTCCCTGCTGTGTTGCTGGAAATCGAAACATGAGCTTACAAGGGAAGGATGGCAAATGGGTGTTTTGATTTAAGTTGCCTCTGCAGAGGGCTTTATAAATTAAGCCTTATGCGTTACTTGCCTTTGTTTTTTTCCCTTGTGTGTGTTTCCCATTTTACTCGTCGGGACCATCCTTTGATTTAGCAGAGTAGCACTTTCTAGAGATGGGACACTAAGTCTTGGTTGCAGTTCTTGCTCTACTGCTGGCTGTTCATCCTTTTAAAAAGGGAGCTACTGCCTTCTGAACGTCTGGCATCCGTTACCAATGAGGTGTGCATGACGGCAAGAAGAAGTGAAGGAGAAGAGGCAGTTTGTGTTTCTCAGGTCTTCATACAGCCACCCCAGAGAGCAGAGGGCTCTGGAATAGTACTGACGGAACAGACACGGAAATAATTGGATGTGTACAGAGTCCGTGATTCATTTCCTGGACATTGGGTGGCATGTGCTGTCAGCCACAAGCAGCGTCTCTGAAGTCAAGTGACTGCCTTAAGCTGAAAGGATGATGAACAGAAAGCCCCCATGAAAATGGGAGATTGGAGGAAGATTTCAAAATTCCACCATGTAGTCTGGAAACCTGGAGAGGATCAAGTCTCCAGGTTTGAGAGGACAGTTTGGCTTTAAAGAAGGTTTTTTTGTGACATCTGTTGGAGAGAGTGATAACACCAGCCACACAGTGAACGGTCATGAAGATGACGGCGCAAATGTTCTAATCTGAGCACAGAAGGACACAAAGGTACCAGTTTTGGGGAGTTGGGGAGATTGTGCTCTTCAAGCAGTGTTCCAGAACAAAAATGGAACGTGATTGCGGGAAGAGCAACAAGTTAGGGACAGTAATCTTGGGGCTTAAGAAGCTACTCTGAAGTGATGCCCAGTCAGGCAGTGTCTCCTAGCAGAGAGGGTAATGGAGTGATTTTGTGGAGAGTCCAGTGAACGTCAGGGTGGACTCCAGAAACTCAGCAGGATCTTCTAGAACTGAGTGGGCAGGGTCACAACTTCTCTCAGATGAAGCCAGAAAGCTTAGTGTTGATTAGAACTGGAAAGTTTTGCTCAGCCTGTAATCCCGCGCCTTTGGGAGGCTGAGGTGAGTGGATTGCCTGAGCCCGCGGGTTTGAGACCCGCCTGGAAAACTTGGCGAGACCTCATCTCTACAATAAATCAAAAATCAGCCGGGCGTGTCACGCCCATTTATTTTTTTATTTTTTTGAGTTGGTGTCACACTCTGTCACCCAGACTGGAGTGCAGGGGCCGCTCCCGGTCACCGCAACTTCGACCTGCTGGGCTCCAGCGATCCTTCCGCCTCAGCCTTCCAAGTAGCCGGAACTACAGGCGTGCGCTACCACGCCTGGCTGATTTTTGATTTATTGTAGAGATGAGGTCTCACCAAGTTGCCCAGGCAGATCTCGAACCCGCGGGCTCAGGCAATCCACTCACTTCAGCCTCCCAAAGCACTGAGATTATAGGCTGAGCCACTGAGTCCGGCTGTCATGCCCATTTATAAAAGAATTATATGAAAATATTACGATGTACAGCTACAGGCTTTATTTTATTTATTTATTTTTGAGTTGGAGTCTCACTCTGTCGCCCAGACTGGAGTGCAGTGGCTGCTCCTGGCCACCGCAGCCTCGACCCGTGGGGCTCCAGCGATCCTTCCACCTCAGCCTTCCAAGTAGCCGGAACTACAGGCACGTGTGGGCTAATTTTTTTATTTATTGTAGAGATGAGGTCTCGCCAAGTTGCCCAGGCGGGTCTCGAACCCGCGGGCTGAGGCAATCCACTCACCTCAGCCTCCCAAAGGCGCAGGATTACAGGCTGAGCCACCAAACCCGGCACAGGCTTTAGAATGTAGATGATGGTAACCTGAAACTTGGAAAGGAGGATATAGTCATTGGGGAAAGGGAAAGGTGAGTATTGGGGAAAAGGAATAGTGAGTAAGAGGCATAAACAAACCACGTGCACGGAAATAAGGGAAGCCGCATACCTGGCGTTTCCTCCTCAGGGCTCCAGTTTTGGCAAAAGAGGCTGGATTTGTTTAATGGTATGCATGGATGGCAACTTTGTGACTCGTCTACTAACGGTCAGGATCAGAGAGCCTTACTGATGTGGAAGTCGTTTTTACTAGATGTTCCAGAGATCCTTTTGTTTGAGAAGGTGGATGATCACGAAACTCATGTTCATTGCTCACTACTGTACTCCTAAAGCCCGCATTTTACACACGAGTCTTTACTATTTGTGAAATATGTGTTGAATGTGTTCTCAAAGCTCAGGGTGCATACCTGTGATTCCCGCCCTCCCCCCACCACCACCAAAAAGAGGGAGAAGTGAAGGTATGTCGAAGGTCGATGTGATTTAAGAACATGTTTTCTTTCCAGCAGAATGAGGCAGGTTGTGGAGTCGAGTTCAGTTTTAGGGAAGAAGGACAGGGCTGGAAATAAATC